TTGTGTGTGAGTGTGTGTGTGCACGTGCGCGTGTGTGTATGTGTATGTGTATGTGTATGTGTATGTGTGTGTGTGTGTGTGTGTGTATGTGTGTGTGTGTGTGTGTGTGTGTGTGTGTGTGTGTGTGTGTGTGTGTGTGTGTGTGTGTGTGTGTTTTGTGTGTGCATCTGTATGTGTGTTCCGTGTGTGTGTTCCTCAGTCTGTGTGTGTGTGTGTCTATTTTGTTTAAGTGTGTGTGTGTGTGTGTGTGTGTGTGTGTGTGTGTGTGTGTGTGTGTGTGTCTCTTTTTTTGTGACATATCAGGACACAAATGTGTATAATGACACAGGTATTACAAGAAGGAGGTGAAATATGAGGACATTGCTGATGTCCCCGTTTCTCTAAAAGCTTGTAAATCACACAGGATGAGTTTATTTCTGCATGAAAATGAATCCTCTTTTCTAATGTTGGGCTCATTCTAGAATAAGTCACCACCAGATAAAGAGGCGTGTTTGATGTTTGAGGTCAACAGGAGGGTCACAAATATTTGGACTAGACCAGACAGAAACTCTAGGTAAGCCTTTTATGCAGTACACACACACACACACGCACACACACTCCTGCTTTGTCTCGAAGTCATAAAATAAGATATGGAGCAGATCCCACTGACCTTATTCTCATCCCTCCGCGCCTCGGGGTATGTGAACGCCATGCTGAGTGTGTTTGAGTGTGAGTTTTGGGGGTATTTGCGTGTGTTTGTCCGTGTGTTTCACGCCCGGGTGACTCAGCTCTCAAAAGTGAAAGTGAAATCAAACTCTCCGTTTCTCTCACTGACAGGATGTGATGTCACTCAGGATCGGCCAGTGTGCGGAGCCACAAGCAGTACACGTGGAGTTCAGCGCTACAGGTGATTCAGCATCAATGAAGATGATCTGACTAATGTTTGTACACAGAGAGAGCAGTGTATTGTGTCTGTCTATCTATCTATCTATCTATCTATCTATCTATCTATCTATCTATCTATCTATCTATCTATCTATCTATCTATCTATCTATCTATCTATCTGTCTGTCTGTCTGTCTGTCTGTCTGTCTGTCTGTCTGTCTGTCTGTCTGTCTGTCTGTCTGTCTGTCTGTCTGTCTGTCTACCTAATTTCTTTTCTCCTTTGCCATCATAGCAGTACATATTATGTTCAAGATGTTTTGTGAGATATAGTGTTCAGCTTAAAGTGACATTTAAAAGCTTAACTAGGTTAGGTTTGTCTGCCAATTTAAAAAAAACACACACTACCTAACAAAAGTCTTTTCACCTATCCAAGTTTTAGGAACAGGTAATAATAACTCATTTGGTGTCAGAAGTGTCTCTATGAAAGGTGAAGGCCTCTAGATTTTGCTGATTTGAGCTCAATAAATCTGTTCATGTGTTGATGTTGACTGATTTGATGAGGACAGTGCGGTCTGACTCTGCTCAGACTAAAGTGTCATCACTGAACAGAAATAATGTCCAGTATAGAATATAAAGTCCTGCTGCAGTGGAGACAGAATGAAGATTGTGTCTGACTCCATCATGAGCTTGGAGGACTGCATCCATACATCTCTGACATGACTCACATCACTGATTAATAAAGTCATCTGGAATGAAGAAGAAAGCCTTCAGGACTCTCAGAGTTCATCAAGTTTCATCTTCAACACCTCGTTCATACCCTAGACTTGCTCAATAATGTTTATGTCTGGTGACTGGGCTGGCCATTCCTGGAGCAGCTTGACCTTCTCTGCTTTCAGGAGCTTTGATGTGGAGGCTGAAGTATGAGCAGGAGCGCTATCCTGCTGGAGAATTGTCCCTCTCCTGTGGTTTGTAATGTAATGGGCAGCACAGATGTCTTGATCCCTCAGGCTGTTGATGTTGATCATCCACTCTGCAGATCTCTCACACACCCCAATACTGAATAGAACCCCAAACCATGACTTCTCCTTCACCGAACTTGACTGATTTCTGTGAGAATTTTGGCTCCATGTGGGTTCCAGTAGGTCTTCTGCAGTATTGGTGATGATTAGGATGCAGATCAACAGATGACCTTCTGACACTTATGATCAACTAGCAGTCAAGTTATTATGTGCTGCTCTTACAACTGAGATCCACCACAAGACTTTTGTCAGGTAGTGTACACTCACCGGCCACTTTATTAGGTACACCTTACTAGTGCCGGGTCGGACCCCCTTTTGCCTTCAGAACTGCCTTAATCCTTGATGGCAGAGATTCAACAAGCTACTGGAAATATCCCTCAGAGATTTTTCTCCATGATAGCATCACACAGTTGCTGCAGATTTGTCGGCTGCACATCCATGATGCCAATCTCCCGTTCCACCACATCCCAAAGCTGCTCTATTGGATTGAGCTCTGGTGACTGTGGAGGTCATTTGAGTACAGTGAACTTATCGTCATGTTCAAGAAAACAGTCTAAGATGACAACCATGCCACGTTCAAAGTCTCTTAAATCCCCTTTCTTCCCCATTCTGATGCTCGCTTTGGACTGCAGCAGATCGTCTTGACCATGTCTACATGCCTAAATGCATTGAGCTGCTGCCATGTGATTGGCTGATGAGACATTTGCATGAACGAGCAGGTGGACAGCTGTACCTAATAAAGTGGCCGGTGTGTGTATTATGTAGTGGTGTGTGTGTTGTTCTAATTGAATTGCCTAGCACATTTAAATTAAAACTGCAGTTATTATTACACAAGTAAATAAAGATGAGGTGATGTTTTGAGAATGGCGTGATCAGAGCATCAACAAAGGCAGAAGAGCACACCTTTAAAGCTGAGTGTGTCTGTGATGGTGCTCGTGTTGTGACTGCAGTCAGTGAAGCGTGGATGTTTTCTGTCATGCAGCAGCTTTAATGACAGCAGGGCGGATGGTGAAGATGATCCTCTTACTTTTACTGCTACAAAAACACTGATTTGTCCTTCATTATAGTGTTGGAGCGAGCACAAAGCCCTCACACACACTCAAAACACACTCCTGCTGACAGACGCCGAGACGCGACACTGAGCGCAGGAAGAAAGGGATGAAAGACAGAATAGAAGGAGAGTGTGTTCTGTCCGGTGTTTAATTACAGGCTGCTGCTGGTGTGTGTGTGTGTGTGTGCGTGTGTGCGCGTGTGTGTGTGTGTGTGTGTGTGTGTGTGTGTGTCTATTTTGTGTGTGTGTGTGTGTCAGCAGGTGTGAACACTGTTTTGCTCTGTGAGTTTGTTTAAGATGCACTTTACATGCCTGTGGCATGATGCTGACATTTTGTGTGTGTGTTTTCTTCAGTGTGTGTGTTTGTGTTCTTTTTCGTGTGTGTGTTCTTCAGTGTATGTGTGTGTGTGTGTGTGTGTGTGTGTGGGTGGGTGGGTGGGTTTTGTGTGTGTGTGTTCCTCATTGTGTGTGTGTGTGTGTGTGTGTGTGTGTGTGTGTGTGTGTGTGTGTGAGTGGGTGGGTGGGTTTTTGTGTGTGTGTGTTCCTCATTGTGTGTGTGTGTGTGTGTGTGTGTGTGTGTGTGTGTGTGTGTGTGTGTGTGTGTGTGAGTGGGTGGGTGGGTTTTTGTGTGTGTGTGTTCCTCATTGTATATGTGTGTGTGTGTGTGTGTGTGTGTGTGTGTGTGTGTGTGTGTGTGTGTGTGTGTGTGTGTGTGTGTGTGTTCCTCATTGTATATGTGTGTGTGTGTGTGTGTGTGTGTGTGTGTGTGTGTGTGTGTGTGTGTGTGTGTGTGTGTGTGTGTGTGTGTGCGCGTGTGTGTGTGTGTTTTGTGTGTGTTTGTGTTTTATGTGTAAGTGTGTGTGTTCAGTGCACATCTGTGTGTGTTTGTGTGTGTGTGTGTGTGTGTGTGTGTGTTCCTCATTGTATATATGTGTGTGCGTGTGTGTTTGTGCATGTGCGTTTGTGTGTGTGTGTGTGTGTGTGTGTGTGTGTGTGTGTGTGTGTGTGTGTGTGTGTGTGTGTGTGTGTCTGTGTGTGTGTGTGTTTTTACCTGTCAGAGTTCATGGCACAAGCTGTGAGGTATATGTGTGTGTTTCTTCATAATGCTGAACTTATTGAACTCTTTCCTTTCTCCCTGATGACCCTCTCATGTCTGTTTTGACACACAAGAGCTTGTGTTGATATATACACTGA